AAATAGTCTAAAGGTCTCCTATAAGCCAAGACCCTTCCTAATTACAACTATGTCATCCAAAGAATTAACAACTACAGAAAACACGAGACACATTAAAAAAAGACTCAAATAAAACCACCATAAGGACACTCTAGAACAGCAACCACTTCAAGCTCCGGCATCAGAAAGAGAAAGCATAAATTATTAATACAGCGAGTAACAAATGTGATGCTTGTGCACCTTATCCTAAAAATATTATGACGAAATCATTCTTGGTTGGGAAGGAGTTCGGCATTAAAGAGTCTACAAAGGACCAAGAATACCCCTTCATGGGCATGCAACATTTGCTCTCCCATACGATTGATATCTTCTTCGCCCTAAATTTCCTCCTCTCTTGAATTTTTTTCTTCAAAAAATGACATGATCCGGTGGTTAGGATGATTGGATGATATATGCCCAAACCCATGACACCTAAAGTACCTCCTTCAAGACAGGATTGTACCCATTTTAGTTGTTCTCCAGGGCTCGACAACAACTTTACCTCTGTTGGATTCACCCTTCCCCCCACTCGGTTGGACCCAATTTTGTACAGTTCTAGAGTGAACTGATTTCTCCCCCAGGTGGTGGTGTATGGGTGCAATTTTACTACATTTCTGCTTCCGTTCAACCTTGACAGAAAGGTTGATGACGTCTTAGAGGGTCTAATAAGGTTGTAGTTGTACCAAGTGACCCATGGTTGACATTGTCCAAAATAGATTTAGTAATATTAATCCAAATATGAACATATTTATTTCTGAAATTATATACACTAGAAACGAAGTACTTCAATGGATATCTAGCGAAAATAGAAGTCACATAAATATCAGGTGTATTATAGCTACTGATACATGCACATTGACATGGAAGTTATATATGTGTATAATTTTTTCAAGGATTTTCAAGAATATAGCATTGGATTTTTTCGAATGATTGCCCCTCCCAACTGACAAAAAATTGCCCCTTCCATACAGCATTACTTTTTAAAATGTCCAAAGATTTCAATGTTTACATATAAAATTACCTCTATTAGGTTTTGGTGGAACCCTTCGTGGACACTTCTCAGATGGGCCTTCGGAAGCTGCAAAAAAAAAATAGGATTTTTTACTGATTATGTAACAATGTTGGATTCACATTATTCAATGATGCTTAAAAAAGACTTCATCAACAAAGAACTCGGTGATAAAAAAAAAAAGTTCAAATTAAACATCTAAATGATCCCTTAATAAAATAGGATGTGTAAAGGTACATAAGACAAACTAATCATCATCAACAAAGAACTCGGTGATAAAGAAAAAAAAGTTCAAATTAAACATCTAAATGATCTCTTAATAGAATAGGATGTGTAAAGGTACATAAGACAAACTAATCAGCCAATAAGAACAGGATATTTATTACTCACAAAACAATACAAAAAATTCTCATTTTCATGAAAAGAATCAATCTAATTTACAATAATAACTAAAACAATTAAGATATTTACCATGAAAGCTATTGCATCAAATTTCAATTTAAAAAATTGTAAAGAATATACTGTACACGACACATTACTGCAAAAGAATCTATAAAGAAACATGTTTATGGTAAAGCACAAGTTCTCTTAAATAAAACAAAGCATGCAATGTAATACCCCAAAGATGATATTGCCCTAGACCACAAATCATAATGATTTAAGATATTATCTAGAAATGGTACAGGAGTGATAGTGTGCATGGTTTAATTAAAGAAACACCTTCGCGTGATATGCAGCAGCCTTAACACCAGATCTGCAGAAAAACTCAGCTAATTTTGTTGTTTCATTCCTTGTAGGCACATATATAATTGTAGGACCGTGTCCTAAGGATTCAAGGTTATCAGGCGCTTGTGTTATCCCACAAAGCTCCATGCTCTTATGTGGACAAACACCAAGAAACTCAGCACATGAAACTGCATATGCAAGCATAAAGTTACAGTTCAGATAAAGTAATTGAGACGTAAAACGGCCAAATACCATAATGCTTGTGCCATCTATAAGCTAAACTAGACGAACATGAATGAAAGAACTAGTGAACTGTATGGAAATATTAACTTTAAGATTTTACATGCAAAAGAAAATGATTCTCAATATTTAAGTGATCATAATTGTTTGCTATCCCGCCCGTATTTATTTCAAAGAGAAAATATTTGATAGTTTGAAAACATATAGATGCATTATGTTGTGGTTTGGCCAACACCCTCAAAGACATGGCATTCATGCAGTTCTTATGCAAAATTGTTAATAATTTAATACCCGGGTGACCATTTGAGATCAATTTTGTATAATCAATTGACTAAATTTGAGAAATGTAATAGTTTGACTAAATTACTATGGTCGGAAAAGTTAGAGGACGATTTTGTTTTTTATCCTTATTTAAATAATTGGTAGGTTGTGGCTTTAAAAAATCGAACGAGATAATCAGATGAACTTTAAGGAATTCCAAAGCATCTCCTATGATAAATCATCTGTATGAAATATTACCATCCAAATCATCTGCACAATAATGTGTATCGAACTCATCTTCAAGAAAATCAACTGTTAACTGGTCCCCACAAGGATGAGCACAATCTTCATCTGATGAACTTGCACAAGAATGAGCGTCGTCACTGCAATAACTATCTGATTCTGATGTGTCATCTTCATCATCTTCATCAGAAGAAGAATCCAAAGAACTACTGGAGCAACTAATGTTATTCTCCCGATTATTAAAGATCTTGTTCTTCCCTTTACTATTATTCATCCTTGATGCAGCATAAAAATTTACTAGATCGTGGAAGTCTCTATTATATGATGAAGCAAAGGATGTCCTGCTATGTTTCACCTGTTTACCAGTAACAAGAAATGTCATAAAAAATTGAAGCACAGAAAAAAACAAAAAAAAGTTCAAATAATGGAAGTGTAATAGCTCTCATATGTACTATACAGTATGAGGTAAACCCATAAGTTTTTGAGAGAAACTATGATGGACAGCTGTATTAAGATAAAAAGCTAACTCGATTTCAGTGCGCTGATCATAGTCCGGCAATGCATTGCAATTTTATTATAAACAACAAAATTGAAAGCAACTTCCACAGTAAGAACTAGCACAGTAAGAAAAAGATTAAACACTTGAGAAAGTGAACTGCTCCTTTAGTAAAATAGACCAAAGTTGGTAATTATTAAACAATATGATCCGACTACATTTTATATGAAAAGTATTTTTAGAACTAGGCTTTCATGAAGGAAGCGATCAACAAAATATTAAAAAAACACTTATTGTGACTCTAACTCAACGTTCTAAAAATTGCTCATCCTATGATTTGAGATACACCTAGTGATATAAAACCAAACATAAACTCAATAATTGATTATCATGTAGATGAAGAATCTTAATAGATAATATTTGGCTCGGAAGAACCTACATGGTGATGTACCTCCAGCTCGGATTATGCTAAACTAGAACGGATCGATAGGGAGATATGATCGCAAGTGGCAAAAACTCCTCAGTTACTTTGGTAGACAGTGCGGTCGTCAGTGGAATCCAGGGGTGGCTGACAACGGCACAAAAACTTCGATCTATGACGTCGAAGCTCCCCCAACCCCAGAAGACATGCGCGGGGGATATGGTGGACCGATCGGTCCTCAAAGGGAGGGGGGTTGCCGCTCCTCACTTACCCATCTCTCCCCTTCCCCTCTTTTCATCTTAACAGATTCTTAATATACGTCTTTCCAAATCAGAATTTCTACATATTTTTATTCCTCTTTCCTAAATTTGTATTCTCATTATAATCTATTTCATTTATTTCCTTCCTAGCACTTTCCTATTTTAAAACATTCCCTACAATTTGAAATCCTGATTATATTCTCCTTTCTTATTTTAAATTCTTTCTAATTTTAAATACTTTCATAAAATCTAAAAACCTGATTATATTTTACTCTCCTTTCTTATTTTCATTATCTAAAATAAGTTTAGCATCTTTATAAATAGGGAATGACTTGCTTGAAGGGGTTTTTTTTATCTAAATTCAGATTTTACATTTGATATTTTCCCTTCGAGGGTTGTATCCGACGTAGAGATAGTGTTCTGGTTGTCCTTTGCCCAATGTGGCGATCATCTCCACGGGTCCGGATAGTGGGGTTTTTTTTATCTAAATTCAGATTTTACACTTGATATTTTCCCTTCGAGGGTTGTATCCAACGTAGAGATAGTGTTCTGGTTGTCCTTTGTCCAATGTGGCGATCATCTCCACGGGTCCGGATAGTCTTTGACTGTAGCTCAACCCCGACAATATATATATATCTATCTTTCCACCTCTTTCCCAACAAATGCCGACTGTTATGCCCTCAAACTTGCTGCCAGCCTTCTCCCAGCAAGGCCACAGTTCCCCATACTCCATCCCAACATCAGTTTTCCTTCCTGAACAACCCAATCTTGTTGTCCACCTGCCCAGAATTCCTCCCAGCACTCAGTCGACCCACTTGCAACAGTCTACCTTATTGCCCAGGCCTTTCCCATAGTTTTCAGCGCTTTCCCACTTGATGTCCACCCTTCGAAAGTGTTGAAGAACATTCCCCGCTGCCGCCTTACCTTCCAACCTACCTCCTAGCCACCCAACAAACCTTCCTGCCACCTTAAGCTATCGCCTCCCTCCTCCAGCCCAATTTTCAACCCCCATCGGCCCCTCTCCCACATTCATACTTGTTGTCCTCAAGCCTCTGGATCCAGTTGGCCAACCTCAATTGCCCTTGGGATACACTTTCGAGGCGTTGGATTGTGTCTTTGTGTTTGTTTATTGTTTATTTCATGTTTGGAAGAGTCGTTGTAATTGATTTCAAATTCAATAATAATATTTGTGTTTCTTTTGTGGCTTGAGCTTTCTCCTCCGATGTCATTTGAATCAGAGCTAGCTCAACCCTAATCTCATTATAAGATTTCTATCATCCGCCCTACCCAATCCACCACACCAATTTTTTTCTCTTTCATTCATTTATTTTTCTTTTCTTTCTTTGTTCGTTCATTTATTTTCTTCCAAAGATCCCAAGCCACAAACATGCCGCCAAGGAGAAATATACCCGAGCTTACCTGGGACGAGATACGGCGAAAGCTCTGTTGTCTTCAACGAAGGCTTATTAGATATTGATGAGCAAATCCAGTGGGAGGTTACCCTCGACCATGATCTAGAAGATCGAAGGAAAGAACCCGAACATATGAAGATGAAGCGGGAAACACAGCTCCAGTTCCAGATATTGATGAGGAAATCCAGTGGGAGGTTACCCTCGACCATGATCTAAAAAATCGAAGGAAAGAACCCGAAAATATGAAGATGAAGCGGGAAACACAGCTCCAGTTCCTACCAACTTACTGTCGCCAAAAGTTGCAGACTCTAGCTTCCGAAGTGGAAAGACCGCATCATCAAACGGCTCCTTGCTACTATCCAACAAAACTAAGCTGCAAGTCTTTCACAGCCATAAAATGTTGTAAGTGTCATAGATTTGGACATGTTGAAGCAGAATGTACAACCAGGAGAGTGATATAAGACACCGCAGGCACTGAAAAGTAGTTCGAAAGTGAATTTTCATCTGATGGCTTCTTCCCTCGTCGATACATCCAATGACTTTCCTCCATTTAATCAAAAGGAACATGCGACTTTTGACGAGATTGTGGTTCCTGCTCTCCTAAGAGATTGAAAACTTTTTTGTTGAGACACATAAAGATCATGCAGACCAGAAAATGTCAAAACATAAAATTAGTTGATGGTCTTAGTGACAACCAATTGATAGCATCACAAGCGGCTACAATTCCAGCGATCACTTTCAGTGTTCCATATGAAGAGGCGAAAGGCCCCTGTGAAGCTCTTGCTATTGGAACACGACAAAAGATGGCAGTTCTTCAAAACTTCAAAAGTTAAAGAAAAGATCCGGAAGATAATAAGAATCACCCATCAACCAAACTCTTGCAAACCCTCAACCTCGCTAAGGCCCAAGCTTTCATAGATGAGAAACATATGAGAAATTTACTTATTTGGAATTTGACTAGGGAGAATCTACGTAGTGGTGTACCTTCGGCTTAGATTATGCCAGACCAGAACGAATCGATAGGAAGGTATGATCGCAAGTGGAAAAAGCTCCTCAGATGCTTTGATAGATGGTGCAGGGATCCAGGGGTGGCTGACAACGACACGGAAGCTTCAACCTATGACGTCGAAGCTCCCCCAACCCCGAGAGACTGTCGCGGGAGCTACGGTAGACCGACCGGTCCTCAAAGGGTGGGGGGTTTCCGCTCCTCCATTTCCCTACTCTCCCATTTCACACCTTCCTAATATAAGACTTTCCAAATCAGAATTTCTGAATATTTTTATTTCTCTTTCTTGAATCTGAATTTCCATTATAATCTCTTTCTTTCCTTCCTAGCACTTTCCTATTTTAAATCCATTCCTAAAATCTGAAATCCTGGTTATATTCTCATTTCTTATTTTAAAAGCTTTCCTAAAATCTGAAAAATTGATTATATTTTATTCTCAATTCTTATTTTTCATTACCTAAAATAAGTCTAGCCTCTTTATAAATAGGGGATGATGTGTTTGGAGTAAGGCGTATTGTTTTTTATATCTGAATTCAGGTTTTAGCATTGGTATTTTCCCTTCGAGGGATGTATCCGACGTCGATGTTTTGCTCTGGTTGTCCCTCGTCCAAGGTGGTAATCGTCTCCACGGGTCCGAGTGGCGCTCCGGCTACAGCCTGACCCCACTGAGATACTTATTTATCCTTCCATCCTTTCTAATGTTGTCAACCCGCTTCCCAGCCCTACAACAAGCCACCGCACCCCCTCCCTGATCCTTTCAGCAGGTTGTCGCAGCCCTTTAGCCACCAACAAGCCCTGCACCTCCTCACTTGTTCTCTTCCTGCAGTTGTTCTCTGAATCCAACACCCCCAGCAACTCCCTGACTCCCCCCTGCATCCTTCCAGGCTGCCATCCAGCCCCCTCCTGCACCCAACCAGCTACAGACCAGCTTCTTCCTCCCTCCAACCTGCTGCCAACCTTCTCCCAGCAGGGTCACAGCTCTCCATACTCCGCTTACAGATTGTCATCCGCTGCATCTCCGGGTTCCAGCCTTCGACAATGTTTCCTACATCCTCTAGTTGCGGTTCGACGCCTCTACTATCCCTGACTTGTTGCCCCGCTCCAGCTACAGCAGTAAGACACCTCACCAACCTTCATTGCAGTCGCCGGCCTTGCACAATCACCCTCAGACTCTCTCCTCGTCGAGATTGTTTTGTCTTCGTTCACATGTCATGTGTTTGTAGTCATTTTTGCATTCTTGCTTTGTGTGATTGTTTCCTTTCTTTAATTTGGATCTTCATTGTATCCTCCTTTTGAGTCATCAATAATATTTGTCGTTCTGCTTGGTGGTTTGAGTTAACTCCAGTATCATAAGCGATCAACAAAATGTTAAAAAAACACTTATTGTTACTCTAACTCAAGGTTCTAAAAATTTCTCAACATATGATTTGAGATACATCCAATGATATAAAACCAAAAACTCAATATTTGATTAACATGTAGATGAGGAATCTTAATAGATAATATCCTAAAGTTAGAGAATGAGAAGGGCTAAGTAAACTAATAGCTTTAGAAATAATAAATTGCTCAAGCTCATGCTTGAAATCTAGTTCTCAAAAATTGTAAAATGAGAAAACGCTAGTAAACTGATAGCTTTAGCAAGTATGACTTGCAGACGCTCAATATTGGATTCAATATCAAGCTTAAGTTTTAAAATCTATTATAGTTCATAAGAAAAATAAGCGCGAGATCAGATGCAGACATTAGTTGGTATTTAGGTT